CTGCCCCAAAAGTGGCCACAAAAATTTGTTTATGCAGCTTTAATGTTCAGACTTTATCTAGAAGCAGCTCTTTTTCATGACAACAAGCACCGTTAAGTCAAAGTACAACAGCTAACAGCTATATTTCCATTGTAAGATGAAGTGTTTACTGCCAGAAGTTGTTCAGTAAGTCAAACTACTAAAAGCTCAGAACATCTTGTTTGTACATAATAAGAAGATCCAGCTATATATAAGCATCTCCTTCCTCCTGTTTATCAGCGTCTAAGTGGTAAAGTCTCTGTAAATAAAGTCTATTCACTGGCAGACAGGAGAGCCGTCCTCCATGGCAAACCTCAGGGCAAACCCCAGAGACGGTGTGAGGAGTGAGATAAGTAGGTGTGTACACAGTGTGATGGACGGAGAGGGAGAGAAAACATGACTGGCGTCATTTTAAAAGCCTCGATTCAGCAGAGCAGGGCAGACGCACAGCGACTTCTGTTCAGTCCTGTGATTCATTAATATTGTCATATCCATGTCTGCACATTTACAGCCAGCAGACTGAAGACAGCAAAGAGGTGTCCATGGAATTTTCCTCCCTGGCTCATTATAGACTAAATGCCAGTGCACCTTACACCGAGGGCAGATCAGTCATGGAGCAATCCGCTGCTAGTAATTATGACATGGAGTCATGAGCGATAGGGAGTTTGGTACTTAACGGTTTTACTACAAATCGAACGTTTCTAAAAACTCCTATAAAGAACTGTTTTGAACACTTTAATAGTGTTGGTATGTGGTTTTGATTTTACAAAGCATGTTAAAGCTCACCCAATTGGTTTAATGCAAAACTAAAGCACAAAAAAATGCATTTCTGTGCAAGTTGCAGTTTTGCAGGAGGTTCCATGCCACGCTGTTTTGTTTTGACTGGGAGCTGTGACTTCCTGGAATCATACTAATGATCGATGGAGTAACTAAAGGTGCATGAGTATGCAACTGAATATAGTGTCCAAAAATTGCATTGTTTACTGCTGTTACTGCTGTACTTCTGAAAATGACAGTTCCCAGGAGACCACTGCATTGGGATTGGGATCCCTTGGGTGCCAATGCAAATCTCACAGGAGTGGACAGTTTAAACTTTACTGCAAGCAATTAAAAAAAAATATCTATAGCTAGTAAGAAGAATAAAGCCAACAAATAAAGTTGAAAAGAAGATTAAAGTAGGGTTTTACAATACTAAACACAAGTCTGATTTGGACACATTTCCCAGTTGAAACTGACAAAGATTTGAACTTTGTTACAGCAAATGTGCAAAGTATTGTTATACATCAGGAACAAATCTGGCACCTCTAGGTTGAAGTGATAAACTAAAAGCAAGCTCTCCATCAAAGACAAAGCATTTCTTAGGCACATATTACAAAAGATACTTTTGATATATGTCTAAAATTTGGACTTACTGCCCAGAAATAACTAAGTCTTATGAATGTAATGGTGAATTTGCTGTCTTGTTACAAACAGGTATGCATCACTTTTATTCATACTGCATAGTAAAACGGCATGTTTGTCCAGCAATGATGGATGAAGACAAAATTAAAGAAACTCTTGGCTGTATGGGCATTATCGGTGAAAATTAATGCAAGCCTGGACAGTAGTGGACTTTATGGGCAGTAATGGTGAGAAATTAAGACAACAGTCCGTTGCACGGCTCAAATTCCCAGCTGTTGTTGGAAATTATGCATCCCCCTTTTTTTTTTAAATCAAATTATACACAGACAGCTGACAAATTAAAGGACACACCAGCAAAGTCACAGTAAGGTGTTGGGATACCATATGCAACTAGAACACCTTCAGTGCACCTTGGCATCAACTCTCCACGTCTATTTCCTCATTCAATGATGGGAGACAGTGCCGTCCAACAGGTCAGTACAAAATCTTCTACAGGTGTTCAACTGGGTAGAGATATGATGACTGTCAAGGCCATAACACGTGATTCAGGAGTAGATTATACCCACGAGGA